CCTGGGCATGGCGAAGTGGCATAACAGGTAAATCCACCACCTGCAGTGCCAGCATCCCATATGGATGCCGGTTCAAGAACCAACTGCTCCACTTCTGATCCAGCTCAATGCAGTGGCCTGGGAAAGCAGCAGAAGATGGCCCAAGTCCTTGGAACCCTGTACCCTCATGGGAGTCCCGGAGGAGGCTCCTGGCTTCTATTGGCACAGCTCAGGCCTTTGCAGCCAACTGAGGAGTGAACCAACAGGTGGAAGACCTCTCTTTCTCTCTCTCTCTCTCCCCTTCTTCTCTCTCTGTGTAACTCTGTGAACTAAATAAATAAATATTAAAAAAGTATAAAGCATCCACTCACACAGTGGCTGTGTGACAACTACCAGTGGCTTCCATGACAACTCACTGGAAGGGCCAGGGCCAGCTTTTGTGGACAGGAAGCATCAGGACTCACACAGTGCTGATGGGGAAACACAGCAGCACCCATGCCTTAGAAAGCAGCACCAGAGATGAAGATGTGCAGCCGATGCCACAGCCCTGCAGCCCCAGGTGCACTTCCAATAGAAGAATGGGGAGGAGGGGGTCAGGTGCTGCGGTCAGCATTCCAGTGCACAGTCACAGAGTATCTGGACTTCAATGCACACGGCACAACTACTCCAACGGCATCAAGAATGCCGCCAGAGACTACCGTGCGCTGGGAATGAGCCCTCGACAAAGACCTGAAAGAATGGAGACTCTCACAAAGATAATGCCTCCAACATACCAGCGACACTTCCGGTCCCACTGCTCCACACCTGTGAACCACGCAGGTGATGGCCCACGTACTTGGCCCACAGCCACCCTCATGGGAGACCTGGATGGAGTTCCTGACTCCTGGCTTCTGTCTGGGCCAGCACTGGCAACGGCAGCCATTTGAGAAAAGAGTTACTGGATGGTGGATATCCAGCTGGCACTCTTTGTTCTGCCTACTAATTAGTAAAAATCACATAACCACACACAGACACACATAAATACATACACACACCCAAACACCTGACCCAGAGTGTTTATGGTTACTCTCAATTGACCCAGAGGTCCAGTCGAGACTCAGGGAAGAACTAATGGAGGGAAAGTCTCGCTCCCAACGCCGGAGGTGAAACTGCAGCCCCACAGAGGGTGCCAGCCGCAATTGGGCCAGACCAGGGGCAGGTAAATGGTGGCCCGAGGTGCAGAATGTGACAGCAGGTAAGGTGGTCGAGCTAGAACAGACCACTGCCATGCCCTCAAAATAAAGGCAGCAAAAACCAATGCAACATGGCTAAAGAAATAAGTAAACGCACAATTGTAATGGAAGACGTTGAAATCTCAGTAACTGACCACATGGAATCTGTAACGAAATCCCAAAATTATCAGCAATTAATTGCATTCTGCTGCCATTTAGAAAACACTTTTGGGGCTGGCGCTGTGGCGCAGCGGGTTAAAAGCCCTGGCCTGAAGCACCAGTATCCCATATGGGTGGTTCTAGTCCCAGCTGCTCCTATTCTGATCCAGCTCTCTGCCATGGCCTGGGAAAGCAGTAGAAGATGGCCCAAGCCTTTGGGCCCTAGCATTCATGTTGGAGATCCAGAAGAAGCTCCTGGCTCCTGGCATCAGATTGAGCGCAGCTCCAGCCATTGTGGCCATCTGGGGAGTGAACCAGTGGACAGAAGACCTCTCTCTCTGTCTTTACGTCTCTCTATAATTCTTTCAAATAAATAAAAAGAAAAAGAAAACACTTTTGCTGATGACTGAAGATACGCAATTTCAAATACACATAGAGCACTTCCCATAATGAACTACGTTCCAGGTTCCAGAGCATAACTCAAGGATTTTATAAATATAAATATCATATGAATTAACTAATATCATGCATATGTTCTTTATAACAATAAAAGGAAAATAAAAATTAGTAACAAAGATAACTGGAAAAATTTCAAAATACTGAGAAATTTAAAACCACAATTCTGAATAACATAGGAGTCAAGAACCAAGTAAAAAAAGGCAAGGGGGCTGACGCCATGGCTCACTTGGTTAATCCTCTGCCTGCGATGCCACATCCCAGATGAATGCCAGGTTCTAGTCAGACCTTACCTCAGGCGTTCTCGATCACTTGACCAGAAGGCTCAGGGAAGACCTGATGGAGGAGGAGGTGTTGGTCCCAAAGCAGGTGAAACTGGAGCCCCACAGATGGTTCCGGCCTCAGCAGCTGCTCCTGGGCACGGGCAGCTAAGTTGTGGCCCCAGGTGCAGAATGTGCCAGCAGCTGAGGCTGTGGCGCTACCAGAGCAGACCACTGCGCATGATGAGGACCTGTGCCAGCAGAGAGCTCAGGAGAGGGTCCCAGATATCCTGGCCCAGGGCAAGCAGCATGGGCACCAGGGTACAGAGTCCCCAGGCCCAGGCATGAGGCTGTGACTGCCCTCAGCACCCCAGGGACTCCGGGACACCTCCAGCAGATATGAAGGGCTGTCAATATGAGGGGCAGGTGTCCAGGGTGAAGAAGGTAGATGGGGACAGAGGAGCCCAGCTCTGATTGGATGGTGCTGGCCCAAGTCCCTTAATGGCTGGCCAGGCTCAGGGCATCCATGCGGTATCCAGGTGGCCATGTCTTCTTCCAATAGAACATAGGGGCCCCTGCTCCCAAGAACTGGTGAGCAGTCCACACTCACTGTCCTGACACCCACTGTCAGGAGGCCTGGGTGTCAGAGGTCCTTGCTGAGGGCCCAGCCACTCTTCTGACCCTCCTATCTCATCCATGCCCTTGATACCTGTAGAGCTTACGGTGTGGGGACACCTGTGCATCGACCTCAATGTCTTCATGGCCAGATGCCACACAACTTGTCCCCAGACTGTTGGGAGTGGCAGAGTTCCCGGCTGCTTATTGATTCAGACCTTAGCATGTGCCAGCTCTGCCCAGTGTGCAGAGACTCAGACCGCACCCCTGCCCCAGAATTGAGGCCATCCTGGACATAAGCCCAGGAAGTGATGGCTGCCTGTGGGGAGGGCAATGAGAGAAGGAGAGAAAGGAAGCTGTGATGACTGGGACTTTTCAGGGCATTCCTGGGAGGCCTCCCTGCCCTCCCATCTGGGTAGAAGGTTCTAGACGGATAAACCAGTGCTGACTCAAGGTGGGTCAGCTCAGGTGTGACAGGGACACCGGAGTGGGCTCATGGACACAGGAGGCTCTCTAGCGGATGAGGGGCTGACGGTACATCCAGAGTGGAGAGTCCAGCGGTAGATGGGTGGGGACGGGGACCCTGGGCACGGTGTTCTCTGTGCCTGCACAAGGTAAGAGGACAGAGGTCAAGAAAGGCCCTTGGAGGGGCAAGGACAGACTGTAACACCAAGATGGCAGCCTGGAGGTTCATGTGGGACCCAGGACTAAGGAGGTGCCGGGTGAGGGCTGAGCCACTTTGCCCAGGAGGAGCAGGTGCTGGGAAGCCCTGGGCTCCCTTAGAGGTGACGAGCAGGGGGATCCTCCTCATCCCTGAAGGGCCACGTGGCTGAGCCCAGGCTGCGGGTGGTCCTGAGTTGTCACTGCCACAGCCATGGTGGAATGGTCAGGAGAGGCCTGTGCTGGGGTCTCAGCAAGGGCAGGGAGGGGCTCCAGGGACAGGTGCATCTTCTGTCCTTCCTCATTCCCCTCCAGGGCCAGAGCAGAGGGCCGATGTGGAGAGGACCGACGCTGTGGCCACTGCCTGACCCTGCAGTCCAGAAGCCGTGTCCCAGTGGTGAAGGCGCCCCTCCCTCCTGGCTTCCCCTTTCCCTGGGCCAAGCTGGCAGGCACTGTGCAGCTGGCAGCCTTGGGACCCAGAGCAGGGCTTGATCCTGGGCACCTCCTGAACCCATCAGCATGGTGCCATTGATGCAGCCTCAGCCTCACGTGCTGCACTGAGGGGCACAGGCATTCACAAAGGTGGGCGCATTCAGGTCTTGCCAGGCCACCCACACCTCACGTGACCTGTGTGCCCCTCGTGTTGGGGAGCTGCCCCATGGGGCTGTGCCCTCGGCATTCCCCCATCCTCACCAAGAAATAGCCCAGTGAGGCAGGCTGGGCCAATTGCAGGACACTTGGTGCTACTTAGTATAGCCAGCATGCCGGGAGGTGACAATGACAAAGACCAAAATAAGCATTTGTGGGGCCAGCACCGTGGCTCACTTGATTAATCCTCCACCTGAGGTGCCAGCATCCCAGATAAGCGCTGGGTTCTAGTCCTGGCTGCTCCTCTTCCAGTCTAGCTCTCAGCTGTGGCCCAGGAAGGCAATGGAGGATGACCCAAGTGCTTGGGCCTCTGCATCTGCATGGGAGATCAAGAGGAAGCACCTGGCTCCTGGCTTCAGATAGGCATAGTTCCAGCTGTAGCAGCCATTTGGGGGGTGAACCAGTGGAAGGAAGACCTTTCTCTCTGTCTCTCTCTCTTTTTCACTGTTTGACTCTGTCAAATAAATAAATAAGCATTTGTGTGTTTTAGATGTGGAGCCTCCAGCCCCAGGGAGAGCCTTGGGGCAGACACATCTGGGTATCGAGGTGTGCTCACATCACACAGAGGAACACAAGTACCGCACAGTGAAGGCAGCTTCCCTGTCACCAGGCGGGCAGCATAGGAAGCACATGGAAGGCAGCCTGAGCCAGAGCCCATGCGGCTGAGCCAGGCCCACAGGGGCCTCCTGGCCTCTGCAGAGCCAGCGCTGAGCACGACCGGCCAGGCGCTGGAAGGGCTGAGCTGCTGCTGACGGTGACCCCTGGGTCTCCCCGGGCTGGGCGTCCTGGCCACCAGCAGTGCTGGGAGCTGCGGGCCTGTGGCTGCTCCGGCCCCACACGTGCTGCCTCTGCCCTTACTGCCAGCGCTAGCCTAGAGTTAGCAGCATGCGGATGAGGTGCTTGTCCGGAGGAGTCACAGTGATCTGTCTGAAGCCCTGGTCAGGGTCAGGACAGGGCCCTGGCTCCCGCTCTGGACATCTGGGCCATGCTGGCTTGAGGTCCTATGCGGGTGTGCTTAGTAGGCCTCTCCCTCCCCATCATCCCAGGAGGACCCCCTGTGTCCACCTCCTAAAACTCCTGGGAAGAGGGGCTGGAACAGCAGGAGGGGTCAGCAGGGGTTGGCAGTGCTGGGGCGGGGCCTCTGGTAGGACAGGAGGCTGCAGCCCTGGGAGTCTCCGTTCAGGTCATTGCAGGGGCAACCACGGAGTGTGGGGACCTCAGGAAGAAGGACAGGCCATGATGGGGTTCCCTGTGCCAGCTGTGTTCAAATAAAGAGGCCTTCACATTTGTGCCGTAATAAAACTGCAGAGGAAGAAAGGAGGGGCAGGAGGTGCCGGTTGCCTGGGACTTGGGGCCGTTACGGCAGGTGGCAGCGGGCCCTGGCACCCCTGGTGCCGGGGCAGTTCTGCCAGAGCCCTGCCCTCTTCACCTGGGCCCTGGGCAGAACACAGGCCCCACTTCTGGTGACCCTTAATGAAGCCAGGCCTGAGGACCCTGAGCCCTGCCACAGCAGAGCCACTTGGGATTGGCTGGCAGGCTTCTGTGATGTCACAGTCACTGAGGATGCGCACTCTGGGCTGGGCGGCGACCAGGGGCCAGTAGTGCGTCTACTGCCCAACTGACCAGGTGTTGGTAGCGTAGGCAGGAGGCACATTTGACGGAATCCAATGGATTCAAGACGGAGGTGAGTGGGACTGGCTCTCTGCGTGACCTGTGACGCGGGGAAGGTCACGCCCAGGTGGGTGGCACTGGTCTCCCATGCCGGTTTCCATGAGTGATGTGGTGGAGCTCTGAGTGCTGCCCCTGTGTGCAGAGCGTGTATACAGTCGCCTCATTCCTCCCGCTCTGCTGGGCATCAGTGTCGAATGGGCCTTGGTGTGAGTCTGTGTCAGACACGGGTTCAAGACTAGGTGTTGGATCAGCTGGTATCAGGTGGAGCAGGGAGGCTGGCTCTGAGAGCCCCAGAGATGAGGGGGCTGGGAGCGAGCCAGGGAGACCCTTAGACGTGGGCACCCTGGAGGACACGTGGATGCCAGGATGGGGGAGGAGCGTCCTTTCTGAGGGCAGGGGAGGCAAGGTGGGGGCTGTCGTTCCACAGCCATCCCTAGTCCCTGTGCTCCGGACGAGTCATCCTCCTGGGATGCAGCCAGCAGGTGCCCACTCGCCTGGCTGTGTGACTGTCCCCCCTCTGACCAGGGGGACAGCCCTCAGGGCAGCAGTTCCCGTGGGCTCCCCTGTGTTGGCTCACATGTGCGTGTGTGTCTTACAGATTGGATATGAACGCCCTGAGGTCCCGGAGGGCCCAGGAGCGAGCAGCGATCATATTGAAATATGAGCAGGTACGGGCCAGGGTGCTGGGGGAGGAGGCGGGGCCCTGCCTCAAGTACTGTGCCTGTGAGAGCCAGACCCCGCCTCCCTGGGGACACAGAGCTGGGCGGGCGGCTCAGCTCTCCCAGTGACTGAGACCCGGGCTTCTCATCCGGGTCCCCTCTCGGCTGCAGGGACGCCGAGGAGCGGCACTGTTGGAGCCTGAAGAAGAGGACGATGAGGGCGGCTGCCTCGTCCCAGACAGGCTTGGGTTCCTGCAGTGAGTCCTCCGCACCCCACCCCACTCCACCCCAGGGCAGGGACTGGGGTCAGAAACCCCAACATGAAGTGGCACACCTGTCCCCAGGCCCCGACCTTGAGCCCAGCTGTGGTCACAGGCAGGCACTGGTCAGCATTTGGCCAGAGTCGAGTGACCCTGGGACTCAGGACTGCAGGCAGGGACAGAGCTGGACATGGGGCAAGCACTGGGCACTCTTACTCTGAGGTCTCTGTTTCTGTTAAGTAGAGGGGGTGGCTTGAGGGTCCCCATGCTCCCAGGCAACACAGCCTGGCCATCGCCACTCTAGAGCTGTGTCCACAGGGTTGGGGCACCAGCCTAGCAGCTGGGCAGCTGTCCAGCAGGTGCCTGGGTCTCAGGGCCCAGGCTCAAGGCTTACTAAGACCTAGTCTGAGGGATGGCCAGGGGTGTGGTCTCTGCAGCTCTGAACCTGCCTGCGGGCTCCCACAGTACAGACTGGGGGGAGGGTGCAGCTGAGGGCCCTGCCCCCGGGTCTACTGGGAGGAGTGGGGCCTGGGAGCAAGAGTCAGACTTGGAGGCTGTTCCCACAGATGTCAGGGAGAGAGGCCCCATGGCTGGAGGGTGGGCTCCAGTGACCTAGAGGGATGGAGCCTTCTCAGGCCTTCTTGGCTTGACTCAGCAGCCCACCTTAGCTCAGGGATAGGGGGTTCTGGCTCCATGTTGTGCCAGAACCTGGAGAAAAAAAAGGAGCAGAGTGGTGGAGAGATGGCCACGGTCTGGGCTGACAGAGGAGGGGTAGGTGTGGAGCTGGCACCTCAGGCTGCCAGTGCACAGGGGAGGATGGTGGGCGGGGGGGGGACCTTGGGAGGTGTGGTGGTCCCAGGTGCCTGGAGCCCCAGGTGCACACTCACAGCACTGAGCATCTCAGGCAGGCCACCCAGACTTGGTCAGTTCCAGGGTGACTTCTTGGGGAGAGCTGATGTGGGGACACTGCTCCCTCCCCCCTGGGCAGCCTGGCCCTGCTCAGGACAGCAATCCCCCAAATGCTATGGGGGTGCTGCCACATGCCCAGGAAGGTGGACCTCTAACAGGCCTGGAGCCCCCCACTGGCAGCAAGGGCCCCTGACTGGCCCTGGGCTCCCTGTGCTCATGGTCACCAGCCCCTCCCTTCCCGTCTCAGTCCCCTGGGATGAGAGGATAAAGCTGGTCCTTCCCTGGCCCACTAGGGAGGTAGAGGTGCTGGTTGTGGTCCTGTCCTCACCTCTCCACCTCCCTTGCTTTCCAGTGAGCAGAAGTTGCCCCAAGACAGCACCCCGGGGGCAAAGGTAAGGACAAGTCCTTGGCCATGGGCCAGTCATCTGGGAAGCAGAGCTGGGTGGAGGGGGCATGTGGGGCTTGGCAGTGGTTAGTGGGAGCACCATAAGGTCCTGCGATGCGGTACTTACACAGCACCTGCTGACATCTTAACACACTCGCCTGTCCCAGAACTGAGCCACAGCTCAGGGGCGTCTGCCTGTCAGCTGCCATGACTCCTTGGCATGGTTGGGAGTGACCTGGCTGGAGCTCAGGGGCTCTGCCTTGAGGATGGGGCAGCTCGGGTCAGAGGCCAGGCCACCGGCACTCCCCAGACAGAAGACCTGGGGCTCACGGTCTGTGCCTTCTCTGGCTCCTTCCTTTGAATGCACACAGAGCTCCTGAGGTGCATCCGAGGGCCCCTCTCGGAGCCCGAAGCTGGGCTCACACCATCCTGTCTTATTTTCCAGCGCAAACAGGTGCGCAGGACCCAGAAGTGGGTGAAAATGATAAAGAATCATAGCAAATACCATGGCAGTGAAAAGGTACCGTTGAGCTGAGGGCCCCTTGGGAACACTGAGAGCTGAGTTGGGGTTTGAGCAGTGCCCATTCCCGTGCCAGGCACCGCCTGCCTCTCAGATCCCCAGGGGCAACTGTCCAGCCCCCAGGGACACAGGTCATGTGCACCCCTTCCCCATACACACAGGACACTGTCCTGGTAGAAAATCTGAAGTCACTGCTGAAGACAATCCCGGATACAGGGCAGGTGTGGTTCCAGGAGCCCTGTAGGGGGCAGTCAGTGCAGGGCAGAGCTGGTGCCCCTGAGCCCTTGGCCCCCAGTCACTGTGGGTCATAAGGCCCCCATCTGGGCAGATCCTCCCTCTGCCAATACACACGGAGCCCCTGGCTTCTCCCTCCTGCTGTCTCACCCTGCGCTCCCTCCCCGGAGTGGCCAGGTTATCTACTCACCAGAGCCTCCTCTCTCCTGTAGTTTCAGCGGAGAATCTACAAGGGCATCCCTGCCCAGGTGCGTGGAAAGGTGTGGGCTGTGATGCTGGAGGTGGATAAGAGGAAGGCCCAGAATCCAGGCAAATACGCGGTACGGCTCTGCAGTCAGCCCAAGGGGGCCCGAGCTGCTCTGGCCTGCTCAGGAGCCTGAGTCTCCATGGAGGACTGTCCCTCACTGAGCCCTCGGGAGCCTCCTCCTCATCCTGCCTTCCTCTCCCTAGATCTAAGTCAGTGCCTCCTCCATGTCTTCCCAGACCCAGCTGGGACTGCACATGTGTGTTTTGTGCCAGAGGCTTTAACCTGCTCTCTGCTGAACTCACCTGGGCAGCTTGGCATAAGGCCAGAACAGAGGAATTGCTGGGCCATGATGGGCGGGGGCCTCCCAGTATGAGATCACAATGGTGTGAGGTAGGGACCCCCACAGGTTCGGTGCTAACAGGGCCTGCCCACAGCTGGCCCTGCCTTCACATGGGCTTGCAGCCCCTGGCATTGCCCTTGCCTGGAGTGGTTGACCCAATGATCAGACAGCTCTCAATGCTTCTGAGAAAGGAGGGAGCAAGGGCTGGTGTGAGCAGAGGGCTGGCACCTGCAGCTGGCTCTCATGTCCCCGGCTGCCATCAGGGAGAAGGGCCCAGCTGTGTGGCCCACCCTGCCTCCCCCAAGTCTGCAGTTTGGGGCTGGCCCTGGGAGCTGGGCCTGGAGACAGTCATTGCCCAGGCTCAGCTCCAAGCCAAGGGCAGCTTCCAATGTCTAGATGGAGATGGGCCCCTCCAACAGGGGGCAGCATGGAGCAGTGGTCAGGCTGTGGCTGACTCCTGGAGGGCAGGGCCTGAGATGCCAGCGAGGAGGATCAGAAGCCTGGCTGGGGTCAGACCGCATCTGTGCTGAGAGCTGAGGGCAGGCAGGGGTAGTGCACAGGGACCTTTCAGAGCCCCTGTCTGATGCTGACCATCAGGGTCCCAGTGGCCCCCTCAGCAGGGATGCCGGCCACGGGGGTGACGTGGACACTGAGGCAAGTAGGGAGCCCATGACCCCCCCTCAACGTGGACCCAGAAGGGAACGAGCTCCCTGCAGGGAACTCTCCCAGCCGGAAGAGCTGATGTGAGAGCCTCATGTGGCAATGGGGCTTTTGCTAGTCCTGAGGCTGGCCCCTCCCCCTTGTCCCTGCCCTGCAAGAGATGAAAGAGCAGGCTAGGCTGGGCGCCACTCACTTCCATCACATCGACTCCGCCATCACATGGACTTTCAGAAACCACCTGATGTTCCGGGAACGTTACAGAATGAAGTGAGGCCTCTGGGCTGGGGAGGACCCGGGGGTGGGAGGAGCAAGGGCCCTGGGGCACATGGGGTTCCTGGGGAAGACTTGGGTGCAAACCTAAAACAGTTCACTTAACACAGAAAACTAAATGGTTCCATGGGCCTTTTTTAGATTATATAAACTTTCCAAAAGACACTGTGGAGAGAATGAAATGAAAGGTATTATCTCTAGAATATTCAAGGAGCCCTTCAACTCAGTAACAAGGAAGCAGTGGGGACCTCCCGGCGCCCAGGGACATAGGCTCAGGAGGGCCCCTTCATGAAAGCACACACAATTCACCTCCTCAGTGCATGAACACACGCTTAGTACCTAAACCACCACGGGGCACCAGCGCACAGCTGTGAGAATGGGGGAACTAAAACCACCGAGGACGCCGGGTGCTGGGGAGAATGTGAGGTGAGCGCCACTCTGGTTCATTGCAGGAACAGAGCACAGTGGCCCAGGCCCCCGGCAGCACCCAGGGCCATTTCTCACAATGAGAGACACACACCTTCCACACGAACCCCCAGCACACACGCACATTTACACAACCACTAGAACAGATAAGTGCAAGAAAACCCTCACCCAAGATTCAGGGTTGTGTTCACAGTCACTGGACACAGGAGTAGCCTGCACGATGCTCAGTGGGGAAACGGATAAGCAACCCGTGTCACAGCTGAATCCTAGAACGGGGTTCAGTGAGAGGCAGGAGGAGGCTCGGCCCTGGGCTGACCTGGAGGACTCTCAGGTGCGTTCTGCTAAGGAAGGACGCATCCCTCAAAGGCTACATGAGGCTATAAGAGGCCAAACTCCAGGACACACAACAGGGCAGTGGTGGCCACGGGCTGAGGGAGGTGGGGAGTTTGGCCACAGGGGGCTCACGGGAAACACATAGGCCACAGGAGCTGCTCCCTACCAGGCTGAACGTGCATGGGAGGCTGACTTTCCACGGCTTAGACACACAGGACTGCACCTCCCACAGTGGGACGCTCACCTGTGCAATGAACACCCACCTGGGGAAATGAAAGTGCACATGACTGCGCCCTGGGAGGACTGTGTGCCCCTGCAGGCAGCGCTCACCCACACGGTGGACAACACGCAGGTGCCCTGATGACGTCACTGCTCATGAGCAGAGTGTCACGGGCCCTGCATGTGGCTGTCAGGCTGTGTGAGGCAGAGCCACACTGAGAGCCTCGGCAGCACAGGACACACAGCCTCTGTCCTCTCTCTTCCAGCCAACAGGCCTTATTCCACATACTGATGGCATATTCCATCTACAATCCCGTGAGTATTCTGGGATCCTATCGCAGGTGCTATCCCGGCAGTCCCTGCAGGGCACCCCTGGTCACAGAGATCCCAGCCTGGGTTGAGGGGACCTCTCTCATCCACAGCTCTGAGGAAGAGGGGTAGAGGCCAGGCTCCGGGCCTCCTTGGACCCAACCTCAAGTTCTGGGAGGAGAAAGACAGCCTTCTCCTGGGTTGGTCTCCAGACCCCAGGAGCTTGGCCACGTTGGGACACCCCTCCCAGGACTAGCATTCCACACAGTGGGGTGAGGGGCGAAGGCAGGGCAGATCAGGTGTATGACTTTGCTCATCAAAGTTCAGTCTGGGTCCCACTGATGCCATTACACCCACCAGACATGTGGTTGGCCCCATGGGCCTGACTCCCACTCCACATAGTGCCACTGCCACAACCACCCACTCAGACCTTTCCCATGCGTGGAGCAGGTGCAGGGCTCCATGGGTGACCCAGCAAGGCCTGGACATCCCCATCCCCCTGACCTGCCACTGGCCAACCCTGCCTGGTGCCCTGGTTCCCAGGGGGCCTGGCACTCAGGAAGCCCAGGCCTGCACCCGGGACAGAGGTACACCTCCTGTCTGGTCCTGGTAGCACTTCCTGGCTTACTTCTTCCTCATGTGAGAAAGGGCCACCAGGTCACCCGCAGAGCTCAGGGGTCCAGAAGCTTCTTTGAGCATGGATCTGGATTCCCACAGCAACCTGGCCCATCCTGACATCTTGGGGGTAACAGGTGTCCATACTTCAGGTCTCCCCCTTGTGCTGCCTAAGCTCAGGCCCTGCAGGATTCCCTCCAGGAACTTGGAGAACTTCCATGGCTCCAATTCTTGGGCTGCTGACACCAAATGGCAGGATTCAGGCACAAGGGCTCCCTCCCCAATCTTCCTAGACCCTTCAGTGGGTGACCCTGATCTCCCTGAGAGGTGGGCCATCCCAGGATATCATTCTTGCCAGGGAAGTTCTCCTAAAGGTATTCTGGGATCTTGCAGGAGGTGGGCTACAGCCAGGGCCTGAGCCATGTGGTGGCGCTCCTGCTCATGTATATGCCCGAGGAGGACTCTTTCTGGGCCCTGGTCCAGCTCATGGAAAACTCCAAGCACGCGATGCACGGTAGGTGGATGGCGTGTGGGGCCCAGTGCATGCAAGTCTGTGCTCGGCCCTCACTGGCTCCTGACTGTGCAGGACAATGTCCCTGGGAGGGGGGCTCCCTAGAAGCCAGGGCTGGCAGAGGCCTCCCAGACTGAGCCAGCCCCCTTCTTTCACCGCCATCCAAAGGCCCTGCAGCTTGGCCATGGCCATCCTGGGTGTGGGAACCTTCAGAACAAGGGATCCTGTCCTTGTCCAGTGACTCGGGTCGCGTCTGGCTCTTCTGCCTCACACATCTCTACGCAGACTCTCAAGCACAGAGCCACACCCAGGGAACTTGCAGAAGGCAGCATCCCCTGTAGGGTCACCCCTCCTCGCTTCTGAGTGTCAGAATGGTCAGGAGGCACCCAGTTTGACAGCACTCACCCCAGCGGGCTCCAGGGGGCAGCCTGGCCTGGGCTGCACACAGTCACCCACCTACACCCACCTCCCAAGCAGATCCTCTGCCCTGGCCATGTTCATCCCCACCTGCCCCTGGTCGAGCCTCCCCTGACCCTCAGTGCTCAGAAACACCCCTCCCCCCCCGGGCCTGGGGCTCTCCAGCCTTCCTAGGAGGAGGCTCTAACGTGGGGGTGTGGCCAATACTACTCAGGTTTCTACAAACCCAACGCCCCAAAACTGGAGCGATTCCAGCAACACCTGGGAGAGATCGTGCATCGTGTGCTCCCCTCCCTGGAGAAACACCTGGTAAGTAAACATCTCCTTTCTCCTCTCGGCGGCTCTGTGCTCAGGGAGGGGAGGACAGAAAGGGGTCCTGACTCCTTCCTGGGCCAGGGCAGGCCACGTCCTCACCAAGGCTTTCCTGGGTTATTGGGGTCCGTGGCAGCTTGGGTGTTGGTATGTTTTCTAGCACTTGGTCCCCCAGAGTTTGCATAGACTGCAGGGAGACGCTGTCCCCAGGGCAGAGTGGACTGAGGGACCTGTGTCCCTTCAGGAACCTGCATGGCTGGGGGGGGGATGCACCTGCTGCTGGGCTTCCTGCACCCAGGGGCTCTGCCCCAGGGCTCAGATTAGAGGGAGTCAGGCCTGGGCCCTGGGCCCTGAGCCCCCTCTGCCTCTTCTTAGGAGGAGGAGGGTGTGTGCCTGGAGGACTCCACCGCCCACTGGTACATCCAGTGCTTCCTGGAGGGGGTAAGTGCCCTGGGGACCCCTTGCCCAGGGAAGCTCCTGCCCCAGTGCCTGGCTCTCCTGTCCTGGTGGCCTGTGACTGAGCTCCCCCAGCCCCAGCAGACACAGGAGGGAGCCTGCTGTGCAGACCAGCAGGCCTTGTCCTGCTAAAGGTGGTCCAAGCTGAGGCTGAGCCTCAGGGCCAGCAAGGAGGGGACAGGTCCCACCAGGACCCATCCTGAGAGCCTGGCAAAGGCCAGAGCCCTACAGTGAGAGGCAGGAGATCCATAGACCCCCAGTGGCACAGGCTGGTGTCAGCGCAGCCCAAGGGCTGACCCATCCCCCAGGTCCCTGGGGTGTCTGGCATTTCCAGTGTGGCTTCCAAAGTGTGCAGACCCCCAGGCTCCGGGACAGGACATGGTCATCCTCTGTGGGTCTGGTTCCCTGAGTGGGCGGGGATGTGGCCATGAGGCATGGCCTCACCTACCAATGAAACGAGTCCCCCACCCTCCCCTCCCAGGAGGAGCTCTGGCCTTCTTGTGTGATGCAGCCTCCTGGAGTCTCCCTCTGTCCTAGGGTAGTGACACTGCACACCCACCCCCTGAGGGCCTACTGAGGCCCTGTCGGGCAGGGTCCTCCAATGCCTCTGTCCCCCAGGTGCCGTTCCCCCTGGCTCTGAGGATATGGGATATTTACATCCTTGAGGGCGAGCATGTGCTCACAACCATGGCTTACACGGCCCTCAAGATCCATCAGAGTAAGTCCTCAGGGTCCACAGAGGCCCAGGTGCTGGGGACGGAGGAGCTGGGTGTCTCCCTGCCTGTCCATCATGAGCAGGGCTTGAGGGAGGGATGAGGAGGTTTGTGAGTTCTGGGTTCCCTTCAGGAGGGCACTGAGAATCCCCTGTTGCACCCACAACCCCAGGCCCACACAGACCACAAGGAGAAGTGGCCAGGGTCATCACCCAGGAAAGTGGCCCCTGCTCAGTCCCCTCCAGTGCTTGGCTTGACACCCAAGGGTGTCTAAGGGGGTCTGCAGCCCATGTCTGGTGCTGGGACAGGGCTTGGAGCAGCCATGGTGGCTGCACCATCCCTAGGGCCCCTCCCAGCCTGACGCCCACCCCCACGTCTAGAGCGCCTCCTGAAGATGCCCCGGGACCACCTCCGGGAGTTCCTGCAGGTGACCCTGAAGCAGGCCTGGTCACTGAGCGAGGATGCGGTCATCAGGCAGCTGCGGGCCTCCATGCATGAGCTGGGGAAGCTCCAGTGCCTCCTGCCTCCCGAAGGTGAGTCCGGCACACGGCCCCGTCCCATGCTCCCTTGGGGGAGTCAGTAGTGGGAGTGCCAGGCCCTGGCAGCCCCGCCCAGGGCCTCCCCTCTTCCTGGTCCTCCTTGTCCTCCCCGGGCTCAGCAGTTCTGCTTTCTGAAGCTCTGACAGCATGGCCTGGCGGGGCCTCGGGCAGCTTCCCAGAATCCTCCTGTGGGTGATGGCTCGCTCTCCCCCCACAACTCTGGGGCTGGGCTGTGGAGCTGTCCTCAGGGCCCTGTTTGTGGCTCTGGCTCCTCAGCTGACCCCCACTCTGGAGTGGATTCGAGGCCCCGCCTTGAGCTACCCCGCCCAGGTCTGGAGCAGGTGCCCTGGCTCCGTGGCCCCAGGAGCACGGAGCACAGCTGGACCCCCACTCCAGCAAGATGAGAAGCAGCCCTGCCTGCCCAGGGGGCCTCTCCTCGACTGACCCCACACAGGCTCCTGGCCCGATGACCACAGCTGTCTGCACACAGGACCCTCCTAGGACGGGGGTGGGCAGGGCTCCCACCCGCATATAGGCAGGGCTAGAGGGAGGTGGGCCTGTGGGAGACCCTGCACAGTGAAGGCCAAAGCCAGCTGGCACTGGATCCCCTTCAGCCATCTGAGGACCCCTGGAAGGCCCAGGTGCCCTGAGCCCAGTTGTGGGGGCCGAGTGCACTCCTGTGAGCAGGGTGGGTGCAGAGGCAGGCGCTGGGGGCCCCTGCAGCAGAACCCAAGTGCAGCTGAGTGTGGGCTCTGCAGTCCTAGCCTTGGGCCAACAGAAGTCAGCGGGACCCAGAGCAGTGCTGGCCTCTGGGCTCTGGTGGGGAGGGGTCTCCGTGCTCGTCCCCTGCTGCTGTTGCCATCAAGGACCTGAGCGCCTGGGTCCCCATGCAGAGCAGAGATGGGTTTGTCCCAGCTCTAGAGGCTGGCAGTGGGGGCCCAGGTGCAGGCTGTCCAGGCACTGGGGAGGCCCCACTGTGCCTCCAGGTGCTGCCTCCCCTGGGTGCTCGTGGGACAGAAGCGGTGACAGCCCAGTCTCACTGGGAAAGGGACAGTGGCTACAGTCAGAGGACACAGGGCACCCCTGCCACCTCTTTAGAAACCGCATTCCCTGTCCCCGAGGGCCTGAACCAGACTCCATGTCTGCCCCACAGCCCCAGCTCTCACCCCCATCATCTTAGGCTCAGTTCCTTTCCAGCCATTAGGAGGGACTCAGATGCGGGTAACTCAGCCAATGCACTGTTAGGACCCAGGAGGTCAGGTGGGGTAGGTGACAGGGTCCTGAGTTGGTGCCTCGGTCCCCAGAGATGAGAGAGTGAGGCGGGGAGGGCAGGGCCATCCACCCTGTGGGGCTGTGCAGGAGGAGCCGGAGGTGTCCCAAGGCTCCCCTGGCCCAGGCTGCACACACCCTCCCCTCTAGGGCCAGCAGCCTGGGAGAGTCCTTAGTGTCACACGGGGTGATGGGGACCCCAGGGTGAGGCTGGGGCAGGCACCCTGCAGGCCAGACGGGGGCTGTGGAGAAGCAAACCGCGTCTCTTCTTCTTCCAGCCAAGGCCATCGAACGGTGCAGCAGGCCCCTGGGGCAGGCACGTGTCCCCCAGAAGCATGTTCCTGTCCCCACTGGCATGAAGGCCAAGATCGCCATTCAGGACACAGTGGCAGTGTGGGAGCAGACCAGGGGTCCCGCTGCCCGTGCAGTGCTGATCCATCCTGCAGAAAGCTTTGGCCTCCGCATCGCCGTGAGGGAAGGCATGGAGGAGGAGGAGGAGGAGAGCTGCGAAGGCAGCCCAGAGCCCCTCGGCCTGGGCTCCCCTGTGGGGACCGCAGAGTCTCCAGCTGCGGCCAGCCCCACAGAGTCTCCAGAGTACTCGAGGAGGTGGGGAGGCCTGTGCCAGTGCGCCAGTCTCCCTAACCTGAGCAGGCCAGAGCACAGGGAGGACAACTCCTCCGACGCTGGCAGCCGGGAGGGCCTGTGGATGTGGGCTCCTCCACGGGCCTCGGAGCCCCCGGAACCAGGGCCCATGCAGGCCGCCCCAGCCTGGGGGCCACGGCTGAAGACTCCCCTCTACCGGCATGGCAGCCCCACGCACTCTGGGGACAGTTATGGGCTGGAGCCGGCCAGAGCCAGCCCTGGGCTGGGAGACCAGGCCCGAGTGCCCTCCCTGGCCCGAGGCCTCCTGGCCTCCTATTCCACGGGGCACCTAGATGATGGGTGCCTCCTAGAAGAGTGGCCGAGCACACCATTTGTCCTGCCCAGGCTGGGCAACAGCCTTCCATGTGTCTACACGGCACCCTATACACTTGATTGAGCCCCCCACCCCCCGGCTCTTCCTTGGGCCAGGACACCCTGTCACTGGAAACGATAGCAGAGCCAGGAGCCACTGTACTATCCCCCCACCCCCGCCACCCTCAGGTGGTGCTGACCCTGTATTAAACCATATCATTGAAACGAGTTTGCTCCAGTTTGTGACCCCAGCGCCCAGCTGCAGCAGAGCTTCCCCGTGCTCCTGGAGAGCGTGGGTGGCTCCACAGCCCCCAGCCCCAGGCAGAGACCCGCTCAGGACCCTGCAGGCAATGCCTGAGATTCACCTGTGCCCACGGGGACTGGGTCAGGGTGGGAGAGCAGCAGCCGTGAGTGCCCGTGACCTCTGAGACAGATCGGCACAATAGGGACTGTTGTAGTGGGAGGGTCTGTGTCACCTTAGTACTCTCTCCTGGATCTGGGTGGCCTTGGCTCCTGCATGCCTGGCTTGCCCCCATGTGTCTCTGCCTTCTTTCCTACACATCCTGGAACCCATTTCCTCTTCCCCCTGAACCTAGGAGAGGGCACCAAGGCTGTCGAGTGGGGTCCTAGGGAGAGAGCAGCAGGACCTCTGTGCACTGCTGACCCCTGCTGTCTGCACTGAGCTGCTGGGGAGAGCGGGGGGCAGTGAGGAGGGAGGGGCATGGTGGGCTGCTATGGGTGCCATGCACTGGCCCTGCTCACCCCAGCTAGGCCTGAAGACAGGGGTGCCCAGGAGTCCATGGGCAGAGAAGGATTCCACCCAGGGAAGGAGACCCCCAGGGTCCCTCAGCACCCAGGGCCTTGCACAGACACTGGCAATTAGATCCAGCACCACTGTGACCGTGCCTAAGGCTTTTCTCTACTGCTCAATGTCGTTTACTCTGCATTCCAATTCATTACTTCTAATACAGCTTTAAGACCTTTTTGTTTTGAAATGATCCTAGGCAGAGGCCTGGAGCCCCTGGGTGCCCAGGCCTGGGCCTGTCTGGCAGGGATGGAGACCTGAGCACTCAGAAGTGGGCAATGATGACCTGGTGGGGTGCAGCTCGCAGAAGCAGGCCAGAGAAGGTTTCTGTGCCGAGAGTGTGCTCCTACGGGTGTGCTGGGGCGCAGGTGCCTGGGGGCTGTGTCCTGCCCGTCTCTTCTCTCCTTCCTCAGGGGCAAGGGTATCCCACAGTCTCTGCCTCACCACGCTTCAGCAGCCTGGGTCCCTCCTCTGACCTCCCTCAGCTGGTCACAAGCCTGTGCCTGGGAGGTCCCAGGAGGCTCTGGTATCTGGGGTTCACTTGCAAGCTCAGCTCCCTGCATTCCGGGGTGTGGCTCATCAGCATTGTTAGGGGTTTGACTCTGGGAGGCCCCTGGGGTGGGGATCCCGGGCCAGGTGCATCCTTGGCCGGGGCAGCAGTTGCCCCTGAGAGTCCCCTGCACCTGCGCATCTAGGTGGTGTGGACAGTGATGCCACCTGCTCTCACAAGCCGTGATTCCCTGGCTGGTGTCTTCCCTCTGAAGGCCGCTCCTCTTCTCTGTCCTTCCTGGGGGAATGCCTGGGTGTCCCTTGCGGGCGCTCACCTCCTCCATCTGCTCTAGACTCCTTAGAAGGTTCCAGATTTCCTCAGCCCCTGAGTCAGCGCTCTCTGGACAGGAGACTTGCCATGATCCTGAGACCCAGGGAGGAGGTATGCAGTGTGTAGACCCTGGCAAGACTCCAGGGCAAGACTCTAGCCCTGCTAGACCCCCCCTCCCAGGCTGGGGAGCAGCTGTGGCAGGATGATTCTGCCCACCCTGGTCATGGCTGACTCCGCTCAGGGGCCAGAGGTGGGAGGTGGCTCTGAGGGACCCACGAGTCCCTTTAGGAAATCCTAGCTGAGGGTCAGAGACTCAACCCCAACACATACCTAAATCAGGATACTTAAATCTCTTACATAAAATGGGATGCTAGCATCTAACCTAGTCACATTCCTCTGTATACTTTAACTCATCTCAAAATTACTTATAATCTCTACTACAGTGTAAGTGTTATATCAGTGGTTGTCATACTGTATCGTTAAGGTAGTAATGACAAGAAAAAACATACTGTGGGGGCCGGCACTGTGGCGTAGTGAGTAAAGCTGCTGCCTGCAGTGCCAGCATCCCATGTGAGCTCTGGTTCAAGTCCCGGCTGCTCCACTTCCGATGCAGCTCTCTGCTGTGGCCTGGGAAAGCAGTAGAAGATGGTCCAAGCCCTTGGGGTCCTGCACCCATGTGGGAGACCTGGAAGAGGCTCCTGGCTCCTGGCTTCAGATCAGCCCAGCTTCTGGTAGTTGTGGCCATCTGGGAAGTGAACAGCAAATGGAAAACACCTCTCTCTCTCCTCTCTTTCTCTGCCTTTAAGAACAAACAAAAACATGTACTGTGTTTGTTCAGTTCAGTTCAGTTTTTTAAAATCTTTTTTATCCATGATTGATTGAATCCATGGATGTGGAACCCACAGATATGGAGAGCCAGCTATAATGTTCCCTCTTCAGCAACCAAGGGAAAAATTAGGAGAATGGTCTAACAGACTTACTAATTGGGAATCTACTGTAACAAATTAATGAAAGCTAACCATATCATACTCCTCTCCAATCCTCCCTCTTATATGTTTATGGTGGTTGACTGAAATAAGTGAAGAGGAAAAGTATTACATACTAAAAAAGCATAAAAATTTTTTTAATTACATAGGGCAACATATTTAACATTTTACATAATGTTAGGTACTTTGAAATGTTGTCTTTTAAATCTTTATTTAAAAGGCAGAGAGACATAGATAAATTCCACCCACTGGTTCCCACCCCAAATGCCTGCAACAGCTGCAGATGAGCCAAGCCAAGGCCAGGAGCCAAGGACTCTGTTTGGGTCACCAGTGTGGGTGGCAGGGGCCTATGTACTTGAGCCATCACCTGCTGCTGGAAGCAGGAGCAGAGGTGGAACTGAATCCAGCCACTCCCCAGTAGTTGTGGCCATTTAGGGAGTAAACCAATGCATGGAAGATCTGTCTTTCCTTCTCTCCCTCTAACTCTGTATTTCAAATAAGTAAATCTTAAAAAAAAATTCTGGTGTAGAAACATCTGAAATCTCTTTATATTAGGAGGCTTCTAAAAATTGCATGTAAAATGTGCATTATGAAAACCGCATGGATTTCAAAATTTTTTATACCCAAAGAAATCAATCTTTTAATCCCACTTTGCAGAGTTTTTGAAAGACTGTTATATTCTTCAGCCCAGGTAGCCTTGTAGTTTGTTTTATTTATCTGCTATTTTCGGTACACCACCCTGCCGTCTGCTTTGGAGTTCGTAGCAAAGCTTTCCCAGTCGCTTCTGGGAAACAAAGTTCAGTGTTGCAGAGCTTCACTAGCCACTCTATTCTTTTCCAAAAACCACATTAATCAAAAAGCAAACAGTTACTCCATAGTAGGTTTGGGAAACTCATAACCAGGAATACTGCACACTCCCCGTTCTGTCACTGTCATGTGTACACATGTGCTCACAAACACATCCACATTAGGTAGAAGAGATCAGGAAACAGTAATAACATGGACCCTGAACTGTTTTCTTCTAATTGCTAGAGATGAAGAAATCTTGGAACCTTTCTTTTCTCTCCCACACACTGGGTTTGGCCCAGGTAAAGGCAAGCAAGCTGCCTGCCAATAGAACAGGACAGTGAAGTCCCATCACATGCTGTTCTTCAACAATTTCTGAAGAAGGCACTTTGATTTGCCCTGAAGCCATGATGGTGGTCAGTGAAGAGAGCAGTGCTTTCCTTTTTTATGTTTAAAATTAATTTATTTATTTGAAAGGCAGAACGACAGAAATGGAGAGATAGAAATATCTACCTTCCATCTGCTGGGTCACTCCTCAAATGGTAGCAACAGCCAGGTCTGGGCCAGGCCAAAGCCAGGAGCCTAGAACCCTATCCAGATCTCCCAGATGGGTAACAGGGACCCAAGTACTTGGGCCATCTTCTGCTCTCTTCCCAGGCACATTAGCAGGGAGCTAGACAGGAAGCGGAACAACCAGGACTCACACTGGCATTGCAGTATGGGATGCTGGCATTCCAAGTGGCACTTGACCCGCCGCGCCACAGCACCCACCCTTCAGTGCTTCAGCTTTCTTAGATCTCAACTCTCTTGTCCTATGGGACTCTGATGTGTGACTAATCCTAGGGTTTCTGGGACGTGAGTCTTTGAAGCACAAATTAGTCCCTAGAATAATCTCAAGGGAGGAGTCTTTCCCCAGCCATTCTCCTTTTCAGCTGGACTCTAACAGTATTGCTTCTGCTGATTGCTTCAGCTGTGGACTTAAATGTTTGTCACACCAATAAAGACATCTTCGCTGCCTCCCACTCCCAGTTCTCACTTTCTAAAATTTCCTCAAGTCATAAGACAGAAAAAAATACATCTGAGCAGATTTGGAGATTTATTTATTTCTCCCAGATAAACTCTTCTCCCTATCACAAGGTATAGAATAGGCATACGAAAATGATGAGAACTCCTAACTTACTTTTATCCCATAAGGCTCAAGAAACGGTTCGGGATTGACATTTGTTTAATCTCATTCATTCCTTAGTTGATGTTTATCAACACTTGGGGTATGCACCTGCCAGTAACCATTGCTATACATTTAGGAAAACAGGCTGGAAAACTGAGAGTTTTTTTCCTGAGTGACAAACTGAGCAAGTAACACAGCTGAGAACAAAAAAGTCCTTACCATCTTGAGTCTCCCTGGATTCAGCTACCCAGGGCCTCACTGCATCTGATTTATGCCATGTGTCTGAGACAGACAGACCTGAGCTCCCACTCTCCTCATCCCTTTGGAAGACTGAAAGAAATGATTTTTATTTAAATACCATGTATAAGAATATACCTGCATACACGTTGTGGTATTTTTCTTAATTCTGTGAGGATAAAACCTAACTCAGTGGTGAGTAGAGTATTATATTTTTAATACTAAGATCAAGTTTTAAGCTAAAATCACACCAGTCATATTTTGTCAGTTACTGTACATGTAGTGTAAATAAGCCACATACTGGAAGATACTTGTTCCTAAACCTTGGAGAAAAATGAGTGAACATGTGTCTATATCTAAACTAATGTTTTACTATTCTCTGTGATTTTGATAGTTAATAGCTCATCAGTTTTTCGATTCCCATTGGCATATCTGATTGTCTGTTAGTAAGGACTTCGTTCTGTAATACTGCTGATATGAGTGTCTCGTTATAGGCTCATCTGCTCTGCCTTACTGGCCTGCAGCTGGCCTTTTGTCACCTCCCCTTTACAGTTAATCTCAGGTCTCTCCTCGGAGGATACCAAGGAGGGTTCTAGGTGAGTTCATCCGGGCTAAGCAGGCGGGGAACAGGCCTGTTTTTCCACCCATTCCTTAATCAGTTGGTGAGCAACGGCTAACTTCGGGGGCACCCAGAACGGAAAAGTCTCATTCTGTTGACGAATGTAAGGATTCTTTCTCCTCAGGGCTGCGGCCACCTCATCATGACTGAACCAGGCAGCTGCCTCTAGTTCTTTCAAGTTCAGCTGGATCTGAAAGATATAAAGAAGGAAAGGATGTAAGGTTAGGAGCTACAAAATTTAAAATACTGCAGCCAAAGCTAAGGAAATGATTCTAGAATTAAGAAATCTTAGAAGATAGTGAAAATAGTTCTGGATATTGCCCAGATGCCAAATAGGTATAAGAGATGAGAATTAGGGGCCGGTGCTGTAGTATAGTGAGTAAAGCCATCGCCTACAGTGCCAGCATCCCATATGGGCGCTGGTTCGAGTCCCAGCTGCTACACTTCAGATCCAGTTCCCTGCTGATGCGGCTGGGAAGCAGTGAAGGAGGATCCAAGTCCTTGAGCCCCTGCACCCATCTGGGAGACCCAGAAGAGGCTTCCGGTTTCGGATCAGCCCAGCCCCGGCTGTTGTGGCGATTTGGGAAGTGAACCAGTGGATGGAAGAGAAGACTCCCCCTCCCTCCCTCCCTCCCCTCCCCGCCTCTGCCTCTCTGTAACTCTGCTTTTCAAATAAATAAATCTTAAAAAAAATCCCCTTTCTGTCTCTCTCTCTCACTGTCCATAACTCTACCTGTCAAATAAAAAAAAAACCTATAAGTTCAAAGATGAAATATTGAAAGTAATTAAGATTGAGAGGAAGTTATGAATAGTACTTGCTTTTCTTTGCACTCCTAATGACGTATGACTCTTTCAATTGAAAAAGAAGATACAGGGGCTAGTACTGTGGCACAGCAGGTTAAGTCACCACCTGTAGTGCCAGCATCGTGTATGGGTGCTGATTTGAGTCCCATCTGCTACATTCTGATCCAGCTTCCTGCTAATGTGCCTGGGAAAGTAGCAGAAGATAGCCCAAGGGCTTGACCCCTGTACCCACATGGGAGACCCGGATAAAGCTCCTGGCTTTGGCCTGGTCCAGCCTGACTACTGTAGCCATTTGGGCAGTGAACTAGTGATGGAAGATTTTCTCCCTTTCCCTTTCTCTCTCTCTCTTCTCTCTTCTCTCTCTCTGTGTCTCTGCCTTTCAAATAAATACATTTTTTTTTTTAAAAAAGTGCAAAAGCTGGCATTGTGGCATCGCAGGTTAAGCTGCCACTTCGATGCCACCATCCCGTATCAGAGCGCTTGTCTGAGTCCCAGATATTTTGCTTCCAATCGAGCTTCTTGCTGATGCACCTGGAAAGGCAGCAGAAGATGGTCTGAGTGCTTGGGCCCCCGTCTTCCAGGTCGGCGGTCTGGATCAAGTTCTAGGCTTCTGTCTTCTACCTGCCCCAGCCACGGTCATTACAGCCATTTGGGTAGTAAACTAGTAGATGGAAGATTGCTGTCTCTTCTTCTTCTTCTTCTTTTTTTTTTAATTTATTTGACAGATTGAGAGAGAGAGACAGAGAGAAAGGTCTTCCTTCCATTGGTTCACCCCCCAAATGGCCACTACGGACAGAGCTATGCCAATCCGAAGCCAGGAGCCAGGTGCTTCTTCCTGGTCTCCCACACGGGTGCAGGTGCCCAAGCACTTGGGCCATCCTCCACTGCCTTCCCAGGCCACAGCAGAGAGCTGGACTGGAAGAGGAGCAACCGGGACTAGAACCCGGCACCCATATGGGATGCCGGCGCCGCAGGTGGAAGATTAACCAAGTGAGCCACAGTGCCGGCCCCTGTCTCTTCTCCTAACTCTGCCTTTCAAATCCTTTTTTTTTTTTTTTTAATTATAAATGTTACTCTTTTTTTCTAAGGATAAGGATTTTCCAAGGATAAGGATTAATGATAATCAGAAGCATAGTGTATTTTTTTGCAGAAACCAAACTAATATAAACTTTGTCCACAGGAAGCCGAGATAGATTAGATGTGCTATAAAAACCACACAACTGGCACTGTGGCATAGCGGCTGGGGCCACTACCTGCAGTGCCGGCATCCCATATGGGCGCAGGTTTGAGTCCCAGCTCCTCCACTTCCAGTCCAGCTCTCTGCTGTGGCCTGGGAAAGCAGTATAAGATGGCCCAAGTGCTTGGGCTCCTGCACCTGCATAGGAGGCCCAGAAGAGACTACTGGCTCCTGGTTTCAGATTGGTGCAGCTCTGGCCATTGCAGCCAATTGGGGAGTGAACCGGCAGATGGAGGACCTCTCTCTCTCTCTCTCTCCAGCAGATGGAGGACCTCTCTCTCTCTCTCTCTACCTCTACCTCTACCTCTCCTTCTATCTCTATGTAACTCTTGACTTTGAAATAAATAATAAATAATCTTTTAAAACACACACACACACACACACACACACACACTAGGTAGACCATAGCAGGCAGGAACCACAATGCCATCTCTCAGGATGCTACAGAAGAGTTGGTGGCTAGCGCAGTGGAGCAGTGGGTTAAGCCACTGCCTGCAATGCTGGCATCCCACATGGGCACTGGTTCAAGTCCTCGCTGTTCCACTTCTGCTTTAGCTCCCTGCTAATGTGCCTGGGAAGGCAGCAGAGATGGGCCAAGAACTTGAGCCCCTGTACCCACATGGGAGACCAGATGAAGCTCCTGGCTCCTGGCTTCAGCTTGGCCCAACCCTGCCATTGCAGCCATTTGGAGAGTGAACCAGCAGATGCAAGATCTGGTTCTCTTTCTCTCTCTCTCTTCCTCTCTCTGTAACTCTGCCTTTCAAATAAATCAAATCTTAAAAAAAGTAGAAGAGTGAGAAGTTAGATAAGACAACATCTTGAGCAATAAGGCCAGTCCTGAAAACAGTTAAGTTAAATAATTTATGTGCCCACTATATGTAAGATTCTCTCAAAACATGACAATGGAAGAGGAATTGTCTTATATAAATGGTGTTGAGAAAATTGGATATCCACATTCAGAAGAATGAAATTGAGTTGTGTGTCACACCAAGTTAAAAAAAAATGCTCCAAAGGGATTAAAGACTTAAATGTAAAATCTGAGAGAATACAACTCTTAGAAGAAAACTTGGAGGGGACGGTGCTGTGGCATAGCAAGGTAAAGTCACTGCCTGCAGCGCTCGCATCCCATATGGGCACCAGTTTGAGACCCGGCTGCTCTACTTGCAGTCCACTCTCTGCTATGGCCTGGGAAAGCAGTAAAAGCTGGCCCAAGTCCTTGGGCTCCTTGCATTGGCCTAGCCCAGCCCCTGGCCATTGTGGCCATTTGGGGAGTGGACCAGCAAATGGAAGATCTCTTTCTTTGCCTCTGCCTCTGCCTCTCTGTAACTCTGCCTTTCAAATAATAAATAAATAAATCATACAAAAAAAAGAAAACATACTGAATAAGCTTCTAGACACTGAACTGAGCAATGATTTCCTAGATAGCACAACAGAAGCACAGGAAACAAAAGCAAAAATAGTCAGGTGGGATTACATCGGACTAAAAACTTCATCAGAGCAAAGGGGGAAAAAAAGCAACCTACAAAATGGAAGAAAATATTTACAGACCATGTATCTGATAAAGGACTAATATATAAAGTACCTAAGGAACACCTACAACTCAAATCTAAAAAACAAAAAACTAGAAATAACGGGCAAAGGACCAGAAGAGACAGCTTTCAAAAGAAGACACACATGTGGCTAAAGTTATATGAAAAGTTGTTCAGCATCACTAATCAAGGAAATGCAAATCAAAACCATGAGCTATCACCTCGCATCTGCTAGGATAGTTATCATCAAAAATAAAGGACAACAAATGCTGGCAAGGATTTGCGGAAAAAAGAACCCTTGTACACCGTTGTGGGGAATGTAAGTGGGTGCAGCCACAAAGAGAAACGAAGAGGAAATTTCCTCAAAAAATTAAAAATAGAACTATCAGGGCCGGTGTTGTGGCACAGCAGGTGAGCCACCCCTGTGATGCCAGCACCCGTATGAGTGCAGGTCTGAGTCCTGTCTACTCCACTCCCCATCCATCTCCCTGATAATGCGCCTGGGAAAGCAGTGAAAGATGGCCCAGGTACTTGGGTCCCTGTACCCATGTGGGAGACTGAGATGGAGAGATCCAGGCTCCATGCTTGGCCTGGCCCAGCCCTGGCCACTGCAGCCATTTGGGAAGTGAACCAGCGAATGGAAGGTACCTGCTCCCCTCTCCCCTGTAACTGCCACTCAAATAAAACCTTTAAAAACCAGAATTACGTTTGATCAAGCAATCCCACTTCTGGATATATATCCAAAGGAACTGAAATCTGAACCCTGAGGAGATGGGTAACTGCACTCCCACATTCATTGCAGCAGCATTCACAGCAGCCAGGATACGTAAACAATCTAAATTATCCATCGTGGACGAATGGATAAAGAAGCGGTAAATAAATGCAATGGGATATTCAACTTTGCAAAAAGGAAAACTGCATTTCAACAAAATGGATGAACATGGAGGGTATGCTACATGAAATAAACTAGACACAGACAAAATCTGGATGAACTCACATGTGGAACCCCAATTGGTCAAACATAGAAACACAGTAGAATGGTGGTGCCCAGGGTCTAGTGGAAAGGAGGAAATGGGGAGGTATTGGTTAAAGGGTATAAAGTTTCAGTTACGTAAAATATGTTGAAGATCTGTACAACATAGGGCCTATCGTTAATACTGTGTTGTTTATGTAAAATTTTTCTAAGAATAGATCTTATGTTAAGTGCTTTTATTGCGAAAAAGAAAAACCAAAGGGGACAGGAAGAAACTTGGATGCAATGAATAAGTGTATAGCATAGGTATAATTTGATGGTATCAGAGGTGTATATTTATCTCCAAATTCATCAAATTGCATTCATTAATTACAGCTTTTCTATGTCAATTGTACCTCAATAAAGTAGTTCAAAAATTATCTCATAATTGGGAGATATACAGGGGAGAATGGTGATGGTTTACTATACTGCAAATTCCTTGGGGTTATAAGTCATACATCTTGTAATGTAAGCCATGGTGGACATGATAGAGATGTAAGAAGTAAAGCCAAGGAAGCCTCACAGCATAAGGGAAACAAGAACTCACCTCTGTCTGCCCTGGCTTCACAGTTGCGTGACAAGCAATCATGAGAGAACAGTTAGGAAAGGGCCAGTGTTGGGATGTGGAGTACTGCAGGCTTTCCACTTCCAGTCCCACCTCTTCTGCAACTTCCCGACGAACAGCCTCTTCCACACTCTCACCTGCAAGCATTCAGAGTAATTCAGGACAGCCTGCTGCAGGAAGTCTGTCATGTGTCTGTATCATGATAGCCCATTTTGAATGGAGTGCCAAACTGACTTAGTGTCTATGAAGCGTCTTTGGGAGTGTCCTACACCTTTGACTCTTACCAACAATAGGAATCAAGTCTGGAGTTGGATACTGAACCAGTGCTTGAGCCTGCTAGGTTCGTTACAATGTGAAGTAAGGCTGGCAGTGGGGGAGGCCACTGCTGCCCACAAGGTTGCTAAAAATTCCACTTCCCACCATGTTCAAATTTTACCCCAATGAGCTGGGGAAAAAAATGACCAAGCTATGAATAAATATTGAGTTGTAGTTGATATTACAGATGCTGAAATATTTAGGGAGACATGTAATAATGTCTATAATTTGTGCATCAAGAAATAAGATGAACTGGTGGATGGTGTTACAGATTGAACAAAACTTGGCTGCCCAAACTCATGCAGATGTAAAGTCTTTTTTTTCTTAATTTGTATGTATCTCATAAATACATTAAGAACATAGTATTTCTTCCCACTGTACCTGCACCCCCCACTCTCCCCCTCCTCTTCCTCCCTCTCCTGTATGAGAAAGAAAAAAAAAAAGAAAGAATGGAATTTAAACAACTAAGAGAACAGTTCCTCAACAGTCTAGACAAGGACTGTTCTGTTACCGCTTCTTGAAGATGATTTTGCTTCCCCCCTTCCTCTTATCCCTTCCTTTCTCCCCCTTCTTTCCTTTTAGAAATTTGATTCTTTAAAGAGGAACCCAAGCATGATGCATCTTTTGTGAGCTCTTAGACATAACTATAACTTATGAGACGTAATATCCTCCATTTAATAATACACTAAAAGGAAGTGATTCTTCAGAACAAGTTTTACTATTAAGTCTCATGGTACAACTCTGGGGACAGAGGTCCTGAATGAGAACTTAGTGCACAGTGCCTCTTGTTTTTTTTTTTTTTAACAAATAACACTCTTACGTATGGCATAAGTGATCCCCTAAGGCTCTTGACATGAGCTGCCTTGGCTATGGAAGCCTTTTAAATACAGTAGCTCGACAAAGCCATAAGCAAAGTGGAAGTTCTCTCCTCCCTTCAGAGAAAAGTACATCCTTCTTTGGTGGCCACTTCTTAAGTCTTTCTGTTATTTAAAGATTATTTGAAAGACAGAGTTACAAAGAGATGGTTGGGGGGAGGTCTTCCATCCACTGGTTCACTCCCTAGATGGCCACAATGGCCACAGCCCATCTGATCTGAAGCCAGGAGTCAGGAGCTTCTTCCAGGTCTCCCACATGGGTACAGGGGCCCAAGGACTCAGGCCATCTTCTACTGCTTTCCCAGGCCATAGCAGAGAGCTGGATCAGCAGAGGAGCAGCCAGGACTCAAACTGGTGCCTATATGGGATGCTGGCACTGCAGGCGGCGGCTTTACCTGCTGCGCCACAGTGCTGGCCCCTCAATGTAAAGTCTTAATGTTAAGGGTGGATGGACTGAAGGTGGAGAATGATCTAATTATGGCCTGTGAGTGGTGGGTCTGGTGGCAGGTCCTTAGGTCACTGGGAACTTGCCTCAGAAGGCAGTTCCCGAGGGATGGTTGCTTATTTAATCTAAGTTTGGCCTTGCTTCTTTCTCTCTGCCTCCTGGCTTACCATGTGATTATGCTTCCGTTCCTGCCCCACCTCTGCCAGCCTCCACCCGACTCCAGAGTAACGGGACCACCCAGTGCTGAAAAATGTACCTCCAACTGTAAGCAGAAGTATTCTTTTCTTTCCATGAAGCTCTTCTTGGGTATTTTAGTTCAAATAACAAAGAGCTGACTAAAAAACTAATTGGCAAATGAATGGCTATTTGATACATGGAGTACAAAGCTATGGAATCTAGGTGTAGGCATACAGGTGTTCACTGTATGATTCTCTCAAGTGTGCTGCATGTTTGAAAAATTTGCCTAATACTGGAAAATTAGGATGTCAGCGGTTTTCTTGATGTGACAAGGAAGAATGTGCTTGAGATACCAAGCACCATGGCAACAGCAAAAAACACCTGTTAATAAGGCTTTAGGTCCTCCAGTGTCACCTGTTTATCCCCTGAACTTACCTATATCGCAGAACCCTGCCAAGGCAGAGTACATTCCTTTGGGAAAGGAGCTCTGGCGGGCAAGCAGGCATCGGGTTCCATCTGACACCAGAGTGATCACCACGGGAGCCATCTAGGAGAGGGGGATGGAAACTGAGCCAGGGGCCCTTTAGGGCCTCTAGTGAACTGAAGGAAGAAGAGCCTTATGATTGGGTGGGCTTCCTTCGCCAGAACTGAGCAGCCCATGGCCTTCTGGGATTACTGTCCCCTTGAAGCCCTGCTTACCTGTGGGTAATAGATGATGTTACTGGAAGGGCACACACGCTTGCTCCCTGCCATGTTCTTCCTGGTGGGCTGCCCACTTCTGCTGCAGAACTGGTGAGCATCATGCCAGCTGAGGAGAGCCTGAGCCTGCGAGTACAGAGACATGCCTGGTTTTCATTGAGAAAGCTTGTGGGGCTCACCCAGAACGGCACCAGGCATGTCTCCAGAGCAGTGCATAGGGAAATGTCGGCGTCTTTCCAGCTTCACTACTTTAATTTTTTAAAAGATATTTGTTTGTTTGTTTGTTTTGAAAGGCAGAGTTACAGTGAGGCAGAGGCAGAGAGAGAAAGAGGTCTTCCATCCGCTGGTTTACTCCCCAGATGGCCGCAAGAGCCAGAGCTGGACCTGATCCAAAGCCAGGAGACTGGAGCATCTTCCAGGTCTCCCAGGCAGGTGCAGGGACCCAAGGACTTGGGCCATCTTCTACTGCTTTCCCAGGCCATAGCAGAGAGCTGGATAGGAAGTAGAGCAGCTGGGACTTGAATCAGTGCCTATATGGGATGCCGGCACTGTAGGCTGTGGCTTTACCTGCCACACCACAGCACCAGCCCCCAGCTTCACTACTTTAAATGGTTACTAATTTAAACCTTAAGATAAGGAAACTATGTGAACATATTATTCTAGCATCAGAAATCTAAGTAAAGGAAAGCATATTTTAAAATGGATGAAGTTTTTAAAAAAAATTTATTTAAGTATACAAGTTTCACATATACAGATTTAGGAACAGAGTGATACTTCCCATCCTACCCTCTCTCCTGCCCAAGCTCCAACCCTTTTTCCTCCTCCCTCTCCCGTTCCCACTCTTAAGTTTTACAAAAATCTACTTTCAGTTTACTTAATGACCATAAAGTTAACACTACACTGTGGCTGGTGCTGTGACACAATGGGTTAAGGCCTCAGCTTGCAGGGCCGGCATTCTACATGGTGTCAGTTCGAGTCCCAGCTGCTCATCTCCCAATCCAGCTCTCTGCTGTGGCCTGGGAAAGCAGTAGAAGATGGCCCAAGTCCTTGGGCCCCTGCCCCATGTGGGAGACCCAGAAGAAGCTCCTGGCTCCTGGCTTCAGATCAGCTCAGCTCTGGCCGTTGTGGTCATTTGGGGAGTGAACCAGTGGATGGAAGATCTCTCTCTGGCTCTACCTCTCTCTGTAACTGTCTTTCAAATAAATAAAAATAATAATAATTAAAGTTAACCCTACACCAAGTAAAAAAGTTCAACAAGTAGTATGAAGAAAAAAAAAAAAAAAACACTGTTCCTCAAGAGATAAGGGCTGTAAAGAGATGATGAGTTATTTAAAACATGTAAGAGTGTGGGTGTTCGGTGCGTTAGTTAAGCTGCTGTTTGGGACACCACATCCCACACTGGAGCACAGGGTTCAAATTCTGGCTCTGCTGTGCATTCTAGGTTCCTGCTAATGTGCACCCTGGGAAGCAGCAGGTTATGACTCAGTAGCTGGGTCCCTGCCAACCATGTGGAAGACAGGACTGAGTTCCTAGCTCCTGGAGGCATTTGGGGAATGAACCTGTGTATTAGAGATCTCTCTGTCTCTCCATCTTTTAAATACATAAATGTCAAAATTTTTTTAACATAAAATATTTATGAATGCCCATGTACTCGCTACCCAGTTGAAAAAGAAAATCTTTCCAGTATAGTTCAACATCTCATATATTCCTTCCCAACAGAGTTCAAAAATTTTTTTCCAATTATAAACTGTTTAGAGGTCTCCCTTTAGATAGCATTGTGGCATAGCAGGTGAAGCAGCCTCCTGCAATGCCTGCATCCTATGTAGGTGCTGGTTTGTGTCCCAGCTGCTCCACTTCTGATGTAGCTCACTCCTAATGGCCTTGGAAAAGAAGCAGAAGATGGCCCAAGTACTTGGGCCCCTACACCTGCAAGGGAGACCCTGAAGAAGCTCCTGGCTCCTGGCTTCAGCCTGGACCAGCCCTGGCTATTGTGGCCATCTGGGGAGTGAACCGCAGATGGAAGCATTCTCTCTCTCTCTTTGACTTTCAAATAAATAAATCTTTTTTTTATTTTTTATTTTTATTTTTTTATTTTTTGACAGGCAGAGTGGATAGTGAGAGAGAGAGACAGAGAGAAAGGTCTTCCTTTTTTTGCCGTTGGTTCACCCTCCAATGGCCACCACGGCTGGTGCGCTGCGGCCGGCGCACCGCGCTGATCCGAAGGCAGGAGCCAGGTGCTTATCCTGGTCTCCCATGGGGTGCAGGGCCCAAGCACTTGGGCCATCCTCCACTGCACTCCCGGGCCACAGCAGAGATTTGGCCTGGAAGAGGGGCAACCGGGACAGAATCCGGCGCCCTGACCGGGACTAGAACCCGGTGTGCCGGCGCCGCTAGGTGGAGGATTAGCCTATTGAGCTGTGGCACCGGCCATAAATAAATCTTAAAAAAAAAAAAAAAAAAAGTAAATGGACTATCAAAACACTTAAGCAAGAGAAATCTGAAGCTGGGAGGACAGGTCATTAAAGCAATGTAAAATTATGCCTCATAGGAAAAGCACGATGGTGGATGTTATGCTGTGGATGTTAATAGTGTTTATGAGGCCGACAGATAGTACTGCCATGGATTTGCAGTCTTTAAGAGGAAATGGTTTTGACAGCAGTTCTGCCAAAAACACAAGCACAAGAAGAGCAAGCCATCTTCCTATGGCACCCTGCCAAAACCTGTAGGAAGACCTCTGATCTGCAGGAGAAGAGATCACTGTGACCCCAGCCTTGTGTATGCACTCACGGATGTGCCTATACATCACACTATTAAGTTTTCTACAGAACTGAAAATTCAGAGTGTACCGTGAACAGCAAGGGGACGTCCTTCACGTCCATCTGGAAGAGGGCCTTCCTCAGCTCAATGAAGGACCCCTGGAGCTCCGTCTCCATTTGAGATTTCTGCAAGGAGGCTAGAAAATTGGCAAAGTGGAAAATCAGACAATTGTCAAACAGACTTTGCCACCAGGCCCCTCTCCAGTCTATCCTGTTTCCCAAACTAGCCTAATAAGACTCAGCTGGGGAAAATAAAAATCTATAGGTTCTCAAGCCCTACCTGGAGGTGCAGAAGCAGCAGGTGTGGAATGAGGCCCAGAACTTTTTTTTTTTTTTAACAAGCACCAGGTGTTTCTTATATTCAGGCCAGTTTGGGAAACATTATAGTATTTCCCAGTATCCTCTTCAGGGCAGTAAGAATATTTGCATTAGCCACACGTTATCCCTGGAAAAGAGATGAAATGGGACCGTGAAGCTTCTGTCTGACCTCCACTCCAGCATCATCACTTCTATGCCCAGTTCCTTAAAAAGAGAAGGAAAGCCGGATAGGGGCCATGAACCTATAGCAACGTGGTTCCCAAATGGAGGTCTGAGGACGAGAAATACTCCATGGGAACATTTTTATTTGCCTGCACTGCTAAGAGAAAATAAAAAAAATGATGGCATGAATCTTAAAACATCTTCTATGAAACATTTAAGATATAAAGTATATAAAGGTACAGAGAATTCATAAACATGTGTACCCACAACTTAGTTTAGAAAGCATTAAAATGTCTTATTTTCTTTTAAATGGTGATGGTAGGTGATAGTATTATTGTGTCCTTATTTGAAATAAAATAGAAAGTTCGTCACCTTTCTGTATTCTCCAAATTTTGAAAAACATTCTTCATCAGTATGTGAGACCCCAAGTCTGAGAAGTGCTGGGCAGCGCTCAGCGGGAGCACTGCTACGTACCGCTTACAGCAGAGGAGCTGTTCAGTCCTAGATCCAGAGCAAACCATGCTTCCTGCTGTTCAGAGCATCCAATCAGCACGGAATCCTCTATCCTCTGCGTATCCTGGCCGCACTTCTCCAGGAGCTTTTCCAACTCTTCAGAAGCAGAAGGGCTTCAATTAAACCACTACACCCATACTCGTCTCACAGGAAATCATCTACGTCAGCTTAAAGCAGGGTCACAGCTACTCAGTGCTATCCAGGGGAGACTGGTGCCAAAACCGCCCTTGGATACCGAAACCTGGAGATGCTCGAGTCCCTTATATAAAGCGGCAGACTAGTCCCTTATATAAAATGCCATACAATGTACATCCTCCCATATACTTTAAATAATCTCTAGATTGCTTATAATACCTAAGACAATGTAAGTGCTATGTCAATATTTGTTGTATTGTTTAGGGAATAATGACTACAAAAACCATATGTTTAGTACAGATGTGATTTTTTAAAAGGGAAGGCCTTAGCCGGCGCCGTGGCTCAATAGGCTAATCCTCCACCTTGCGGCGCCGGCAAACCGGGTTCTAGTCCCGGTTGGGGCGCCGGATTCTGTCCCGGTTGCCCCTCTTCCAGGCCAGCTCTCTGCTATGGCCAGGGAGTGCAGTGGAGGATGGCCCAGGTGCTTGGGCCCTGCACCCCATGGGAGACCAGGAAAAGCACCTGGCTCCTGGCTCCTGCCAGGATCAGCGCGGTGCGCCGGCTGCAGCGGCGGCCATTGGAGGGTGAACCAGCAGCAAAAGGAAGACCTTTCTCTCTCTGTCTCTCTCTCTCACTGTCCACTCTGCCTGTTAAAAAAAAAAAAAAAAAAGGGAAGGCCTAATTTTTAATGTAAATCCTACACCATTTTTAAAATTTATTCATTGACTTGAAAGATGGAACAAGATACTCCATCTGCTTGTTCAGTCCCCAAATGCTGGCAGAACCAGGAGCCCTGAACTCAGGTACTTAAGCCTTCACTGGCTGCTTCTCAGAGGTGTGCATTAGCAGGAAACTGGAACAGAAGTGGAGCCAGGACTGGAATCCAGCCATTCACAATGTAGCTGTTCAAGTCTCAACCACTGTGCCAAACACCTGCCTCAGATGCAATGTTTTCCCCAAATATTTTCAGTTTGTGGTTGGTTGAATCCAGGATGCAGGACAGTAGATATGGAGGGTCTGCTGTTCTTGGCTTAAAGTCACTGCCCTGAAGCTATTACTGTGCACTCTTGATCAGATCACTTCACCTAACTAGGCCTCAGTGTCTCCTTCAACAGTCTGAGCGATTAAGGTCAAACAAGGAATCTTGAGTAATACTGTGTTACTCTATGATTGCATGATGGAAGGAACATATTCTCTAGTTCATAAGTTGCACGATGGTTATGTTATTAAGGCACTGAAAACAGTAAGTATCACAATGTAAAATGGAAGCGACCAATCCAGTTCTAGAATTAGCCTCCAGAGTGTGCTGCTTTTGTGGGCCCGGGGGTTACTCACATCTGAAACTCCATCTGTCAGCGGTAAGTACTGTGTAGACAGTAAACTTGCCCCTCTGTGCATGTGGGACTTAGTAATTTGTTCATCACAATGCTTAGCACCTTATGCACTGCTGCAAACTACCTATCCGAGAACTTCAACATCTGACCCGGGGGAAATTCACTGGCAATGTAGTCAAAAGTTATCCAGGATATGGTGACAGCAAATAAAAGTGAAATTTAAGGGCCAGCATTGTGGCACAGTGGGTCAAGTTGCTGCTTGTAACACAGGCCTCCCAGCTGCTTCTGATCCAGCTTCCTGCTAATGTGCCCGCGAAAGCAGGGGATGATGGCCAAGTACTTGGACCCCTGCCACTCACGTAAGAGACCAGGATGGTGTTCCTAGCTTCTGGCTTTGGCCTGGCCCAGACCTGGCTGTTGTGGCCATTTGAAGACTCAACCAGCAGGTAGAAAATGAATCTCTCTCTGTCTCTGTCTCTGTCTCTATCTCTTTCCTTCCAACCTCCACTCCCATCATTCTGCCTTTCAAATAAATGAATCAGTAAATATTTTAGAAAAAAAATGTAGGCCCATCATATAAAAAAAATAGTTCAAAAGCATGTCTAAAAATCTGATAGTATTTTGAATGCCAAATGCCAATAGCTTAGATAGCTTTACTTATAAATACTGAAAGAGTTTTATGTTAATTCACTTTTTTTTTTTTTTTGACAGAGTGGACAGTGAGAGAGAGAGAGAGAGAGAGAAAGGTCTTCCTTTGCCGTTGGTTCACCCTCCAATGGCCACTGCAGCCGGCGCACTGCGCTGATCCGATGGCAGGAGCCAGGTACTTCTCCTGGTCTCCCATGGGGTGCAGGGCCCAAGCACTTGGGCCATCCTCCACTGCACTCCCTGGCCACAGCAGAGAGCTGGCCTGGAAGAGGAGCAACCGGGGCTAGAACCCGGTGTGCCGGCGCTGCAAGGTGGAGGATTAGCCTACTGAGCCGCGGTGCCGGCCTTTTAATTCACTTTTAATTTTGACCCTTTTCATAAAAATGAAGTTCTGTAACAGATGAGGCTGGAAGTCCCCAGTCTAAGGCTGGAAATCTCAGGCAACCTTTTTCTGTAAAGCGATACCAAGGGTTTTAGACTGGTTTAGTCATACAGTCTTTTCACAACTACTCGGTTCTGCCGTTACAGCGCAGACGCAAACCATAGACAACACATAAGCAAATGAACAAGACTGTAAAAAAAGTATTCATAAAACAGTTTATTGAGCCCTGGTTTAAGGCATTAGTGGTTCATATCATAATCCTTTTGACTGGAGAGCTAGGGTTCATACAATAAATTATTAATTGACAGAAGCAGCTACACAAGTGTGAAAAATTGAAAAGTTCAAGGAGCTGTCTTTACAGAATCAGTATGAACTACATGGTAGCCATGAATCCAGGGGTCCACTGTGGGCTTACCTAACAGGCTGACGCGGGGGGCCATGTAATGACGCTCTGATATTTGAAGCAAAGGAGCCAGGTGGTGAAAGAGGTAAAAGGCGCCTGTCTGCTGCGCTTTTTTACACGCATTGTCATCTTCCTTCAGTTCAAATAGGTACCTGCGTTGGGGAAATAATTAAACCATTACAAAAATCACACTTGGTTATCTTTTAAAATTTTATTTGTGTATTTTATTTGAGAGAGAGACACAGAGTTCCCATCTGCTGATTCACTCCCTAAATGCCGGCAACAGCTGGGGCTGGGCCAGCCCAAAGCCGCAAGCTGGGAACTTGATCCAGGTCTCACCCATGAGTGGCAGGGACCCAGCTACTTCAACCCTCATCACCTGCTGCCTCCCAGGATGGGTATTAGCAGGAAGCTGGAACGGGGAGTGGAATCAGGACCGGAACCCAGGCATTCCGATACGGGAGGCAAGTGGTGGCTTAACTGCTAGGCCAAACATCCGCCCCCACACTTGGTAATCTGTGGGTTTTCTCCTCCTGCATCTGTGTATTACCTCAGTTATTTCTCTTTATTTACATCTGAATTTTCTTCCCCTCCAAAAAAATATGTTTTTGAAACAGATACAAGCAATCATTCGTTCCCTCCTTTGCCCTAGTACATATCTGGCCCATACTTCTGTGGTTGCACGATTGTGGTACTATTTGTTCATTTATCTGTCTCCCCTACAAGACTCTGAGCTCCTTAAGGGCAGGGTCAGCCTTACACAGCTCTGTACCTCAGTAATTAGCATACTGAATGTCTCAATTCAATAAATATTTATTGAGTTTAACTTCAAAGGTAAAAAGTATTTACTGAATTGAACCTCAAGATACTTTGCCAATATTACACTGTGAAGCAAGAATTGACATGCAGTGGAGATGGAAACAAGTACAGTGATACAACATCAACCATAGAGACCTAATGCTGTGGTGCAGCAGGTTACGCTGCCAGCTGCAGTGCCAGCATCCCATATGAGCATGGTTCAAGTCCTGGCTGCTCCACTTCCGATCCAGCTCCCTGCTAATGCACCTGAGAAAGCAGAAGATGGCCCAAATCCTTGGGCCCCTGCACCCATGTGGGAGACCCAGAAGAAGCTCCAGGCTCCTGGCTTTGGATCAGCCCAGCTCCAGCCATTGCAGCCATTTGGGGAGTGAGCCAGCGGATAGAAGACCTGTCTCTCTCTCTTTCTCTCTCTCTCCTTCTTTCTCCTTCTCTCTCTCCGTCTCTGCCTTTCAAATAAATGAATAAATTTTGAAAGGAAGGAAGGAAGGAAGGAAGGAGAAGCAAGAAAGAGGAGGGAAGAGAGGGAGAGAGTAAAGGAAGGAAGGAAGGGAGGGAGAGAGGAAGACTGGGAGAGAGAGAGGGAGGGAGGGAGAGAGGGAGGGCGGTTTGGGTACATCCCTTCAAGAGCCTTGGGAATCAAGCCAGGTGTAATGGTGACGGAGGCAGATTTTCCTGGGGCCTTGGCATTACCTGTTTTTACCCGTCAGAAGCCCTAAATCAGACTTGCGGGTACATAGTGTATTCTGTCAAGTGTATTTACGGATGTTTTCTACAAGAGCTGTGAAATTAGTAGTAGGCAAAGTTGACTCAACATGAGAATACAAAGCAAAATGACAAAGGCTCCCCAGTGGCATCCTTAGAAACATGGTATGATCAAAGGGGTTCCAGTGAGCTCCGCGTTAATAGAAAAGAAACTTGATCTTTTAGACTCATGATATTTTTAAACTAATTTGAGTGACTGCAGCCCCCCTGGGGTACAAACTCGATACATGTCTAAGGAGAGACATGTGCCACTCAGAAATTACCACATATAAACAACAGAACAAACACTGCTGCCTCCGGAAAAGAGTGGTACAACCTGTGCTTTGCCCTAATGACCCTCAAAAGCAAAACACCTGCAACACCACCCAGGTTCAGGGTTGCACCCAGGCAGGGCCTCTCTAGAGACGGAGACACACAGTGCCTTGCACACTTCTCAGTGAGGAACTCCTGCCTTCCATTATGCTAGGATTATCAAGACTGCAAATATTCAGATTACTTTAATTTTGTCTTT